GCCTGGCCGCCCCCCACGTGGGCTGCGTTGCCAATCCACCCTTCACTGGCCACCCTTTTGGGGTCCAACTCCTGGGAGGTTCAGGTCGGCATCGGCGCTGGCATACCCGCGGTGGGCCCAACCAGCCTCTTTCGGCATGGTCGTAGCAACTGGCCTCATCCGCTCGGATCCCGCTTCGTCCAACCTAGGCGGACTTGAGTTTGGGCTTGGCTCGGGCTACAGTCGTTGGGGAAGGGTTCCGTGTCCTTCAGTTGGTTCGCAGTGTATCTCAGGTGTTCCTTTGGTTTCGATGGGCAGTCGAAGTCTAATTTCTGACCAAACATGGGGCCACGTTCCTTATGTTGGGTTCCTTATCACAGCGGCCCGATTGTCATCTGGTTCAATGGCCTCTTCATCGGGCTTACAGTCAACCCGCATAACAAGGATGGGCAACCTTCCGAAGGGTACCCTGGCATCCTTGCCTCCTCGGTCCATTCTTGGCCACTTTCGTTGGCCGCGGCCGAGACGGCCTTTCAAGGCGCTTGCATCCTTATCGCGCATCCGTATGGTATTCATGGCCTTCGTTTTACGAGGGCCTCGTTGACGCTGGAGGAGGAGACCGAACAGGGCCGAAGGCGCCTTGGTGGCATTGGATATGGTGCTGGCGGTGATGATGATGATGAGGATGGTGATGATGTTGTTGATGATGATGGTGATGATGCAAATGATAATGTTGGTGAAGAGGATTCTGAGGATGATGATGGTGATGAAGAAACTGAATGTGATCATGACGAAGCTGCAATTGAGGATGATGTTGGCGATGCGGATGATGATGGTGGTGCCTGCTGCGCATATGTTGTTGATGGTGATGAACCTGTTGATGACTGTTATGATGAGCATCGTGATGATTCTGATTATGCTGATGCTGCTGCTAACGATGATGGCAATGCTGTTGATGATGCTGGGGATACTAGCCATGATCATGGTGATGATAATGCATATGACGCTCCACGGCGTTTGTGATCAGGATACTGATAATGATGACTATGATGCTGCTGGTGATGATCATGCTGATGCTGATGCTGATGCTGATGCCGCTGATGCCGGTGACGATGATGCTGACAGTGACCATGATGAGGTTACTGATGATGATGATGCTGATGATGATGATAAGGATGATGATGACGATGTTGCTGATTCCGATGCTGGTGATTTGTGGTGATTGTGATGCTGATGATGATGTTGATGATGGTGATGATGATGACGTTGGCGACGTCGATGCTAACGATGCTTCTGATGATGATGATGATGATGATGATGATGATGATGATTGTGGTGGCTGCTGTGGTGATTCGGTTGAGGATTAATGTCATGATACTGACTGGTGATTATGGTTATGATGAGTGTGATTATGCCGATGCCGAAGGTGAGGTTGATGACACTGCTGTTGATGATGCTGGTAATGGTAGCCGTGACCTAGGTGATGTTGAAGTCGATGATGGTTGATGTTGTTTGTGGTCATGATGTTGCTAACGAGGTTTGACTATGATGATGATGATGCTGATGATGATGATGATGGATGCTGATGCTGATGCTGATGCTGATGCCGATGCTGCAGATGATGATGCGGACGATTATACTACCGATGATGCTGCTGATGAGGATGCTGATGATGATGATGATGATGATGGCGATGATGAGTATGAGGTTGATGCTAACGCGGATGCTGATGCTGATGCTGATGCTGATTCTGATGCTACTGCTGTTGAGTGTGATGAGTATGCTAATGGTGATGCTGATGCTGACGATGACGATGCTGAGGTTGCTGCTGCTGCTGATGATAATGCTTGTGATGACGGTCATGACGATGCTGGCGATTGTGTTGATCACTATGTTGGAGGATGTGGACGATAGTGCTGATGCTGCTGCTGCTGATGATGATGATGATGGTGATGATGATGATGATGATGATGATGACGAGGATGATGATGATGATGATGATGATGATGATGATGATGATGATGATGATGATGATGATGATGATGATGATGATGATGATGATGATGATGGTGATGCGCATGATGCGCATGATGGTGGTGATGCCCATGCTGAGGAGTGATGGTGATGGTGATGTACACGGTCGTGGTGGTGTTGATGATGGTGGTGGTGGTGATGGTGATGATGTTGGTGGCGCTCGGTGGTGGTTGTGGTGGTGGTGATGAGCACGACGATGGCGATGGCGCTAGGCGCTGCGCATGGTGACGATCACGACGGCGAGGCTGGTGGCGGTCGGCGCTGAGGATGGCGTCTGATGCTCTGGGCCGCAAGCAGGTTCTCAGCCAGCTCTCCGAGGAGCTCTCCCGCGAGCTCGAGCACGACCTGAGCCACGACCACTGGGCAGGCCGCATCCCCCGAGCCTCGCCCTCGAAGGTACGGGACCACGCTAGGGGAGGGGGGGCTGGGGCTCATGGGAGGAGGAGGAGGAGGAGAAGGAGGAGGAGGAGGAGGAGGAGGAAGAGGAAGAGGAGGAGGAGGAGGAGGAGGAGGAGGAGGAGGAGGAGGAGGAGGAGGAGGAGGGAGGGGGAAGGGTGTGGGGAAGGAGGGGGAGGAGGAAGCTGCAGACATGCACTGCTTACAATTGGCATGGGATGCTTTCTTGCAGAGTGTGGCGTTGGAACTAGCCTCGCGCTGGCACCTGCGAGGCAACAACAGGTTCAAGCATCTGGGTCGAGGAGGCGTGCTCCAGTGGAGATGGGAATCGGTGAGCTGGACGCCCCCGAGGCGCCGCACGTACGTGAAATCTTGCGGAGCCCGCCATGGGCGGCGCCGCCAGGGGGATGCAGCGCCGATCCGAGAGATCCGCGCGGACCTCCGAGTTGTTCTGCTCATGTCATTCCTCGTTCCCCTGGCTGTGCCCAGGTTTTCCGGACCTGCCTCGGGCGGCCAGCCTTGCGCTGCACGCGCGAAAAGCCCAGGCGCCGAGGGCCCGGGCCACGCGCACGGGGGGCCACAGGGTCGCACAAACATCACGGCTGGAGGTTCTGGGCCACTTTCGGCCTTCTGGGGCCCTCGCCAGGCCCCGGGACCGTCAACAAACATCGCGACTGGAGGTTTGGGGCCATTTTCGGCCTTTTGGGGCCCTCGCCGGGGCCCGGGACCGTCGAAAAACGACTCGGGACGAAAAACGGGTCTCGGGGAAAGGGTCGGGACTTCCGGGGGCTGCGTATTGAACAAATCAGGAGGTTGCATACCTGGGGGTAGGGGGTCGGGGGAAGGCTTCTCAGAAATGCCCCTGCTTCTTAAGAAGGCGCGGGGCTTGTCTACAGACAAAACGCCGGCGCCTTCTAAGATGCAGCCTCCCTCCTTCTCAGAAGCCTTCCCGCCCCTCAACCTACCCCCCTGTGCGTGCCGCCAACCTGCCCAGCTGGCTCGTGAGTCAAGATGGTTTGAGCCAAATGTCGCGGACCACAGCACGCAGGCCAGAGCCGGTGTGCATGTCACCTCCTTGGTCGTACACGACTGCCCCAGGCCGCATCGTCGGTCGAGGTGGCCTCAGGCACATGACATGATTACGTGTGGCTGTGCTTATTTGGAGCCCACGTCCATGATGTAAACTGTACATACGCGTGCGCACATGTCAATACATGCAGGTATTCAGTTGTAGGCGGCATGTACATATACGTTACGTCTTCATGCCGACGCAACTATATTGCATGCAATTACGCATGAATATGCGTGTGCGTGTGTGTGTATGTATGTGAACGTGCGTGCGTGCCTCCGTGTGTATCTGCGTGCGTTTGCTCATGGCTCCATGTGCGCGCACACATGCATTTCAAATGCACGCGCCCGTGCGTATCCACGCCTATGCACAACACGCCCACACACACACGCACACCTGTGTGTATGGGCACGCTCTTGCATGCGAGCACATCTTGCCGCGCACACGCGCATCACCGCACGCGCAGCTGCAGGCACGCCGATCTCGGCCTCTGTGCCCTGGCGTTTCTGTGGCCGCTGGAGCCGCCAGGCACCAGCAGCCTACATGCGACACGGGTACTCCAGATCTCATAATAAAAGGGAGGGGGTCTGGACCCTCCAAGACAAGCAATTTCAGACCTCCCCCGTGGGAGAACCCTCCAAAACATCGTCCCCAGACCCCCCCAGGCCCTCCAAGATAGCCTGGAAGAGACCCCCCCCGAAATGAGACCCCCCTCCCTTTATTACGAAATCTGGAGTAAGCCTTGATCGAACAAGAAGAAAAACCACATAAACATAAATTGTTGGCGTTCCGCACAGATTTCTTGGATTCGCGCTGGGCCCCCCAGCGGCGCCTCCGGCGCGGCCCCTGGCGCGCTCCGCGCGCCAGGGAGGGGGCTCCAGCGCGAATCGAAGACATCCGCGCGGAGCGCCAAAAGTTTATGCTTTCTTTTACCTGAGTCCCCAAAATCCAGCGAAGGGGGGCGGGGCAGCGGCCGCACAGGCTCGCCTGGGGGTCCCGCGCTGACCATCAGACGTCTTGGCGTGTTCTTCGGGCCCTGAGGGCGGGTAGGAGTACGATAGGAGCGGGCGGACACCGGCCTCCCACGAGCAGGACGGCACCTCTTCTTTCTCCCTCGAGGCGAGGAGCGGAGGACAGGGGACAGATGTTGTTGAATCCAGAAGTGTAGCTAGCTGCACACATTCGTGCGCCTCCCTTCACTCGGCGGCGAGCGAGGGGGGGAAGTGAGCGGGGGTTGGGTCTTCTCAGAAGGCTCGGAAGTCCCCCGCCCTTCCGAGAAATGTTGTAAAGATTTCCAGGAGAAGCATTACATTTCTCAGAAGGCGCGAGGGCTTCTGAGAAGTCCCGCCGCCTTTGAGAAGGCCTTCTCCTTCTAACTTCCCCACCTCGCCCGCCACCGATTCACACGCATGCGTGTATGTGTGTATGTATATATATATATATATATATGGCTCAAGCCGTCCTGGCTCAAGAAAAAGGCGGGAACCACAGAGTTCCCAAGTTTTCGTGGTGACGCCTCAAGGAGACTCTTGAGCCAAGACCCCCCCCCTTTTGCCACGCCCCCTTGGTTCAGTAGCTTCATCTCCATGGAATGGGGTGGCATGGACGGCCGCAGCGTAATGCAGGCGATGGTGGAGGCGGCCGTCTCGGCGGCGGTGAGTGGCACGCTCAGGGCGGTGCAGCCGGCTCAATTGGGCCAGTCGGAGGTGCCGCCGCCGTCAGCCTCCTCGAGGCTGCAGCCGGTGCCGAAGCTACAGCTACTGCCTACGGCTCTGCGGCGGGGACAGCCCACGCCGAAGCCCACGCCGAGGCCCAGCTGCTCCCCTCGGCCTCCTCCGCTGGCCCTCGAGACGGAACCGCAGGCGGGGACGGCATCAGGTCTGGGGAAGGACGAGCTGGAGCCTCAGGGTGCTGCCCAGACCGGGCTGCAGCCCGCTCGCGCTTCGCCGGCCGAGCCCAAGAGGGCGGAGCGCCCGCCTGGGCGCTGGACGCTGCCGAGGGATCCGGGGTCGAACTCGCCTACCTCGTCGGGCCCCAGATGGCGAGCTGGTCTGGCACAGGTGCGCGCGGGAGCACGTCCGCCGGCGGAGGCCACGCGCGAGGTGAGGACAGATGGAGATCGGCCTCTGGCGGCACCCAGGCTGGACAAGCCGATGCACGAGGAGCAGCCGGTGGCGCGTCTTCGCCGGTGGCATCGGCAAGAGCCTCGGCCAGAGACTCGTGGCAGCAACATTCGCTTGGTGGATACTCCCTCGCCGAGGGCCTCCGAGGACGCCCCTCTGCCGAAGGCCCAGGCTGCCCAGCCACCGGTCGCCGCGCAGGCGCGCATTTGCCGCACCCCCTCCCGCAGATCTCGGCGGGGCCGGCCGAGCGCTCCGAGCCCCCCGCTCCGGAGTCGGTCCCCGCCGTCACCGAGTCCCCTGCGGGAAGTGAGGCGGCGTCGTGCGGCCCGGGATCAGGGCATTCACCATCTGAGCTGAGCGGCGACTTCAACAGCGCCGTGATCTCCGACAGCGACCTGGAGGACGAGCAGGCGCACCTCGATGCTGTTCTGGAGCCGATGGCCGGCGCTGGCTCGGGGGTTGGGGATTGGGGGAAGGAGGGTGAGCCCGGTTGTCCTGGTTCTGGGCGGCGCCCTTCGGGCGTCCGTCATATTGGGCGCCCTCTGTCCCGTCCTCCCCCCGAGCCGACCGTGGCTCCTGCTGGCACTGGGGTCGGCACCGAGTTCATCAGCCTCGAGGACCACGACGTCACCACGGATGAGGACGAAGCCGCCGCAGATGGGGAAGACGAGGATGCCCTTCCTTATGTTCCAAGAGAGCATTGGGATATTCTGGCGGCTTGGTGGATGGATCTGCTCGAGCCTCTGGGAGTAGTCAGCGCCTGGACTCCATTGCGCTCCGTGGTTGCCGACGCCCTTTCCGACGCCTCTCCCCACGCCCCCGTCGCCCTTCCCGACGACGACCTACCCGACGCCGCTCCCTACGCCTCCCTACGACCCCCTACGGCGCCCTACCCGACACCCCCGACGCCCTTCCCCACGGAGCCGTACCTGTCGCCCACGCCGCTCTTCCCGACGACGCCCTTCCCGACGCCCTTCCCCACGACGCCCTGCGCCCCCCTGCGGCCCCAGACGACGCCCTATCCGACGCCCACGACGCCCTCTCCCTCGGTGCCCCGCCCGACGCCCACGACGCCCTTCCCGACGACGACCTTCCCAACGTCGACTTTCCCGACGCCGCTCCCAACCCCACGACGCCCTGCGACCTTCCCAAACCCCTTCCCGACGACGCCCTTCCTGACGCCCTAGCCCACGCCCCACCCGGCACCGCACCCGTTGCTCTACCTCTCCACATCGGGGCGGCTGACCCCGATCTTCGACTACGTGCCGAGAGCAAGGATGATCTGACAAGAAATGGCGGCACGGAGTCGCGAAGGAGGTTTGCTATCGGCGTTGGCGCGCCCAGCGACAGCCAGCGGAAGTACAGCTACGAGTATCTGCAGGTGCTTGCCCGGATTCACGGCTGGCTCGGGGAGGGCCTCACGCATGAGGTCATCGCAGTGCGCTTGGAGGCTGCAGCTGCTCGCTTCCAACAGCGGGGGGCTGACCGACGCGACCGCCTGCTGATACGACGAGGGGCTGCGTATGCTGCCGCCCTGCTGTCTCTGCGTTCCTCGTTCCCCGCCGAGTACAAGTCGAAGGATAAGCCCATGAAGGAGGAGGGGCCGGCCAGCAGCCCGGCGAGCGGCGATAGCTGACTCTGCGCCACTGAGGGGGCGTCGGCTCTGTTGTCCCTGCTCTGGGAGGCTGGCTTGTGCTGCGGCGCCGTGCTCGGCGCGCACCCTCCTTGAGGCGTCCTGCTCCGGCATTGCCGCCTCTCTTTTCCACCATTGACAATGCTAGTATGTGCCTTGGTACTCTCGCGTTCATCTTGATTTGTTGGACTGGCATCTTCGAGGACCTCTTTAGGCTCGGTGCTAACTCCAGCCTCGTGTCGGCCGGTCGGTTGAGGACCTCTCGGGGCTCGCCTGTCCTTCGCCGGTCTCGGGTTCGAGTTGACCCTTATATTGATTATATTTTCCGCCGAGTTTGGCACTGATTGGGCAGATTCTGTCGTATTGGTGCATCCCTGGCGCTTTGGTAAGTTTTTCCGCCCATTCTGGCACTGAGCAGGCAGATTCTGTCTTTTTTGTGCCTCTCTGGCGCCTCGTTGTCGGTGCCTCGGAATCTCTTCCTGCTGGAGGGTCCACGCTCCTCTCGTGCCCTGTTTAGTGCCATTTTGGCCATGACGCCCTGGTCGATGCACATTGAGTTGTGCGCAGGTGGGCCCGCGATCTGTGTGGAGCTGATGGTGGTGTGGGGAATGCCGGCGCGGTGGAACAAAAACATAATATATATATGTATATATAGGTGCGTGTGTGCAACCAGGTTGTTGCATACATGCTTCCCCGTACACATACTTCAGCAGTGCGCGCACTCATGAACACCTGCACAAGTACGCTTCTGAACTATCAATGCGCACTATATGCCCTGTGTGTGCGCCCTCGAGAGTGTATGGGTGTGTGCGTGTATGTGTGTGTGTGCGCGCGAGCATGCACGTGTATGTGAACGTGTGCGTGGGCATGCGCCTGCAGTGCCAAGAGGAGGAGGAGGAGGAGGAGGAGGAGGAGGAGGAGGAGGAGAGGAGGAGAGGAGGAGGAGGAGGTTGAGGAGGACGAGGAGGACGAGGAGGAGGGAGGGAGGAAGAGGAGGGAGGAAGGGAGGGAGGGAGGGAGGAAGGGAGGAGGAGGAGGAGGAGGAGGCGGAAGGGGCGGAGGAGGAGGAGGAGGAGGAGGAGGAGGGGGAGGAGGAGGAGGTGTAAGCGTCGGTCGTGCACGGCCTTCGCGTTCACGCTTACCGCACACTTCCTGCGAGGCGGGCGCCGGGAAGCACGCACGCGGTGCCTCACGGGATTCGGGCGCGGGGGCCGCCGCGGCGCCCTCCGCCGCCCCCGTGGCCCCCCCCCCCAGGGCGCCTCGTCGTCGTCGTCGTCGTCGTCGTCGTCGTCGTCGTCGTCGTCGTCGCGGCGTCCCCCCCCCCCCCGCGCGAGAACACCCGTTCTTCCGACTCATGGACAAGCAGACCACCGCGAGCCCCCCGGCCGCCTGCGCCACAGGGGGGTCTTGGCCGTCGCGTAGTGCTGGGCATCGCTCGGACATATGCATCTTTTCCTGGCGAAGATCATCGAAGTGCATCCTGGTTTACCTTGCAAAACATCGCACGCGCGAAACCAACAAATGCACAGGGAATGGACGTCCGAGTGATGGCGAGGATGGGGGGGGCGATCAACGGGGGGCAGCGAGGGTTGCAGAAAAGGGGTCCTTCAGGGGGCCCCTCAAGGGGCCCTGCAGGGCCCTGAGGGGGGCCCTCAGGGACCGAGAAGTGCATTTTTCTTTCCCCCATGTATCGCCCCCCCCCCCCTCCCCTTAGCGTCGCCCAAGGGGTGACGTCACGAGACTGTTCGGGCAGCGCCGCTGGGGGCTTGCAGAGGGAGGCACCAGTTCCTGGAGGAACTGCCGCTTCGTCGAGGAGGTTCGTAGAAGTTTGGGGCCGTTTTTCGAGTGGGGGGACCTGGAGGAGGAGAAGGAGGAGGAGGAGGAGGAAGAGAAGGAGGAGGAGAAGGAGGAAGAGGAGGGGGGGGGAAGGAGGAAGGAAGGAGGAGGAGGAGGAGGAGGAGGAGGAGGTGGAAGACGAGGAGGAGGAGGAGGCGGAGGAGGAGGAGGCGGAGGAGGAGGAGGAGGAGGAGGAGGAGGAGGAGGAGGAGGAAGAGGAGGAGGAGGACGCGGAGGAGGAGGAGGAGGACTTGAAGGGATATGGCTTAAGGGGCACCTTAACCCCATGTGGTATGGCCTGCGGCCATCTCCACCCCAGAGTTGCCACAGCAGGCCACCCTAGGGGTGACAGGAAGAACTGGACCTCCCCAGAGCCCAACAACTTCTCGTTCGTTTGAGGGAAGACGCGTGTCAGACCTAAGTGTCCAATGTAATTTGCTGTGCTGCATCGCACGGCACGCGCACCCCGTGCGCGCGATCCCTTCAGCCAAAACTGCTTTAACAGTTTTAACGCCTGCTGCGCCGCATCGTCCCCGTGACATTTGCAGCGCCTTGCGTGGCGTTGGGGGGATAGTGGATGGGACGCTGCGCCTAACATTTGGGTAGTTGCAAGTTGCCGTGCTGACGATTTGTTGTCGCTTGAGTGAGTAAATCGTGCGTTCCTACTCTGGGGCTCGGTGCGGCATGGATTCACGGATACGCCGGTACATCCAACAGTAAGTCCAAAGTGACCGCATCAATTGGTTGTTCTGGTATGTGGTGTTGCTGTTGTCCCGGCCGCGTGGCCGGTAACTTGGGGGTGAAGTGTCGAAAGCTAATTTCCAAGCAGCAGGACCGTGAGCCACGATTGTTTGCAACGCGTATGGTGTTGCTAATGTGGACCTTGATTTTGCCCTGGAGTGCGTCGGGACCTACGGACGGGAACCAATAATGAAATGCGTTAGATTTACACCATAGCTAACAGCTGTAAGCTATAAGTAGGGGGGGGGACGATTGCAGTGTAGCGCTGATGTCCGTAAGACAAGACCTTTGGCATTACCGCCAGTCTGTGTCAGTAAGCGCTTGTCTCGTAGGTGGGGCATGTGTGCAGGACCGCCGGCACTGCCGCCGCGCTATGTCCCGGAGGTAACAAGCCTCCGACGAATCGAATGACACAACAGGCTGTGTCCGAGAGAAGCATGCTTCATGAGTGGGGCAAATGTGCAGGACCGCCGGCATTGCCACCAGGCTATGTCCTGGAGGTTAAAACCTACGACGAACCGAATGAAGACAACAGGCTGTGTTCAAGACACGCATGCCTCGTGGGTGGGGTAAGTGTGCGGGACCGCCAGCACTGCCTCCAGGATGTGTCCTGGAGGCCAGAACCTCGGATTTGTCGAAAGTGACCGAGAGCACCGGCGCTTCCGCCAGGCTGTGCCCAGAAAGCGCTTGCCGCGTAGGTGGGGTCGTTGCGCAGGATCACCAGCATTGCCGCCGAGTTGTGTCCCCGAAAGCCCGGTGCTTGGAATACGCCGCCCCAGCGACGCGCTTGGCACGCCGCCCCAGCGACACACTAGGCAAAACGCCACCCCAGCGACACGCTTCAGCCCGCACTCAGAGGAAAGGGGTGTGGGGGGGAACTTTATTATCCGGGGCTATCGGTTGATAGAATTCCCCACGGAGCGAATGAAGGAAACGCCCGTGGCAATTCCGCCAGCCTGTATCCAGTAGGCGCTGGCCTCGTGGATGGAGTAAGCGCGCAGGGCCGCGCGCCCTGCCGCCAGGCTAACTAAGTATGCCCCGGAGGTGAAACCCTCCGACGAATCAAATGCGCAGGATTGCCGGCCTTGCCGCCGGGCAGCGTCTTTGAGGCAACAACCTCGCGACAGAGGTTGGCGCGTAAATTCGGCGGGCGCGCGATGGCTCGCACTGCCGCCAGCCGGCGTCTCGAAGAGGACGAACCTTGGTAACGGTCCGACGTGGGGCGGTGCAGAGCCGCCGGCCTTGCCG